GCATGAAATTTGGGTCTCTCTTTTGTCTTTTTGTCTTTTTGTTAAAAGAAGGAAGCATATGATATTGATATCTATTGTCCAGCTATACTTTCCTGTCTTGAGTTGGTAAGTGAACAAGCTTGACTTGCATCATTATTTCTTTCGGAAAACAGGCCTCTTGCCAAATTTGAGCTCAGTGCCGAAGTCCTAATCATTATTCTTGCGAAAAGTTCAGACATTTGCATGCGTAAGGCAGAAGACCTACCGGCTAGCAACTTGCCAAATCAATTTGTTGTTAATGTTTCAGGCCTGCAGCTCCTCATCTTGGTTTGACAAGAAGCAGCTTTCTTCCAAAGCCTTATTCTTTTGCAAGCAACACAGGTAATCTTGTAAATTCAATTTTGGTCTCATTCACTATTTCACTAACTTTTCAATCCATTTTCTTTATCCTTATTAAGAAGATTCAGAGACCATTAAAAGAATGTTTCTCTGACTGACTATAAGAATGTCAGTGGATTCACAGCGTTACTGAGGTGATATGACTGGCATTAAAGTGCATGCTTTGACAAAGAGACAAATAGACATGATGCATTGCTACCTTGATTGAATTTAAATGAACAACTCTCTTACACAGGATAGCATGTTTGTATCGTTGTTATTTTTCGAGTTAGATTATTGTGATGACGGGAATAAGTTCAAGTTGTACACTAAGATGATATGTTTGCTTTTGTTAGGAAATCCAATGAGAACAATTCAGCAATCAAAGGGGAGTGTTTCCTGTTTTATAGTAATCTTGGAGGGATTTATTTTTTTTCCCCTAGGTGAAATTATAGTTCAATTAATATACTCGAGGTTAGGATTTAGCATCCTTTTTTCGAAGCTGATAAAGCAATTTTCTCAAAATTGTTTATTCTATCAGTGTCATCTGCTTTGTAAATGAACTCTGATCTCTGCCATGTATAGAATGAAAGTTCGGAAATTTTAGTTCCTTGTCTGGAATTTATGCTTTTGTTGCTTGCTAATACAAGTGAGGTTGTTATTCCCCTTTTCATTAGCTATTTTTTAAGACCGACCCAGAGTTCTCAATAAACGAATTAAATAACAAATGGAAAAGAATGCAGCAGCGGGCTCATTGCAGTAGAGGATTGCACAAATAGTTTTACAAGGTTCTTGATCTGTGAATATTTCCTTTGGACGTGAAACTTTCATTGGGCTGGGTGCTCTTAATTCTGGAGAGTATAGTTTTGGGCCCAATTATCATGCTCAGTTGTTAAAAGTCTGTTACTTATACTGGTGACGCTGTATCTCCAAACAGTCACTTTGAGAAAGCTGTCTGACTTGATTCTTTATCTCTTTTCATCTGATTTATTCTGAATCAAGAAACTGTTGAAGTAGTAGATTTCGGGAATTTTGTGCACAAATCACTTCACTTTCCCATGTCTGGACAGGACGAGAACCACGTATGGATTGTTAATTTAAGTAGTAGCAGACATGAGATAACCTCAATCAGAGAAAGTCAAGAATGTTATATTGTGATGCAACACTCATGCCCTTTAGAGAGCATGGGATTAAGTGGTAGATATTTTGTGAAATATCTTGCATGATGTAAACACTGCACTGCCACTGCATATGGATAAATGCAAAGGGGATGCGATCCGATTCAAACGAGGGAATCAATCAAGTATTTATTTGTTTCAAGGCTTGTGGGGACCGGGTAAGTGGCTGAGATGTTGGTGTGAAAGCGACAGATTTGTCTCTCGTACAGGGGATGAAGATGATGTAAAAGTGGCCATCTCATAAATATCCAAAAGCAGAATCTTGGTTTGTGCCGCCTCAACAGCAAAAAAGAAAAGGAAACAAAAAAATCTGTGAAATATCTGGAATAAGTTAGCCCACAGGTGGAAGCAACTAGATCAATGTCTTGTTGGGGGGGTAAAAAATTTAAAATTGATCCGTTTCTCTTTCTATCACTGATAATGACAAGCCTGTCTTAGAGAACGTTTTTGCTTTGGCTGTCGTCTCCAATCCTTGTGGTATATGGAGGTGGTGCTCAATGTCATATTCATATTCCTATATATATATATATATATATATAAATATAAAGGTCAAAGTGTAATTTTACCCTTAAATTATGAGGTTAAGAGCATGTGGACTAAACTTTTTTTTGGGGTGTAGTTTGCCCTCAACATTTAGAAATGTCATAATATGCCCTCTTTTGTTAATTATTAGAAGGGAGCATGACAATTAAAGACCACTTAAAAATAGTTAATACTAAATCAGGATTATTTTAATAGATTTCCTGTTGAATCATAGGAGGTATTGAGTGTTGAATTTGAGAATTTAAGTTATAATAAGATCTTGATTTGACATTAATTTTATTATGAGGTCTTTAGTTTTCTTTCTCCTTTAAGAAAACATCGAGTTAAGTTGTGTGAGAGAAAAAGATGACCTTAAAACATGTAACAACCTTTATCTTGTAATCAATGAAAGGGGCACACCGTGACCTTTTTAAATGTTAAAAGCAAAATTGTAACTGATAAAATTTTAGAATTTTATATGCTCGGAACATATAATTTAAGAATAAAATTATCCTTTTATTATATATATACATGGATATGAAATTATATGATGTATAATATTATTAGATCATACTTGAGCATTATTAAATTCAATATTTTTTTTATATTCACATATCAACGCAAATTTAAAGTTTTATACCTATGGTCATATCCTGTACCAGGACAATGCTTGTTGGCTTATCATATTCATATTCTGGCCGCTCATCATATCCCCTTTTCCTATCTCTGGACTCTCATCATCCCACCAAATGATGCTTTTTTTTAAATAATATTAAAAATGGTCATAGCTTAGAATGAAACTGAAATTACTATCACAATTACAAATCCATTTAAAATTCATAAAGTTCCGAACCCAAATTTTTATCTCACGCTTTTGCCTTTATGCTTTGTAACACTATTCGTTGGGGATTATTAGTTACTCCTCTTTTTTTTTTTTTTTAAATAAGCAAAATCTAGGTGGGCTTGTTTCTGTGACTTATTAAAATCAGGATATGTTTTTAAGTTCAAAAAATATTTATAAACCATTTACTAACAAGTTTTTAATATTGTTGGCAAGATTTGATCTCCAACTTTTAATTATGGATCAAATTCTTATCAATTGGATCAATTTTTGTTGGTAATCTCGGTTTTGTTTTATGTTAAAATGATACTTCTGTCCGTCCATGTTTGAGGTTGTTTTGTTTGCGACTCTTGATTTTCAGTCTGTTTGGTGTCAAATGGTCTTTTTAATAATAATAACTAATTATCGTTCGTCAAATACGCCGATTATATTAATCAGTACATTAAAAGTAGTTTGGATCTCTAGATTTAATGTTTATCTTTACATTGCCACTTGGATGTCTTGATTTAATTTTATAATTAAGGATAAAGAGTGCAATAATTAGTTGGGATGGATCGCCACTTTCTCAGGAAGATAACCTTGTACCCAAAGTATCCCTCAATTATTGACTTTGCGTGGGTCACAGTATTCCCAATCCCAGGCCATTTTTTGCCCAAAAGGAATTCAAAATATTAGAGGATAATTGTTTATAATTTTTTTACTTAATTATATTTTAGTCTTCGAATTTTATATAAAGTTTTAATTTAATTTTTTAATTTTATAAAGTATTTTTTGGTCTTTAATCCAATCATCGTTAGTTTTAAATGATTATTTTTTATG